GCGCACTCATCTGAAAACACTTTCTCATGTTAGGCCAACTTCTTGGAGTCTGAAATTGCACAGCTTAAACCTCAGAGTCACAGAATGTGGCTTAGGGTGGGACAGACGAAGGGTATGCTCTGACCTTTGGATCAAAGGCTGTCTCTTCAATATGTATCCAACTATCTGGGATTATTGTCAGTCTTGTGCCTGGCTTGTTATAAGACTAGTCAAAGTTTAACTCCAAACCCTTAAGACATACCATCTATTCCAAGTAAGACTGCTGGTTAATACTGTCTGGCATTAACTTTCTAATGGAGTACAGTGACTGAAAATTAACTATCACTCCCTGAAAAACTAAGTTGAAAGGAGACAAAGGGCAGTTTTAATGATAAAATGAGAGAGAAATTTCAGATTCTTTCTTCCTACCCTCTAGGCCAGATGAAAATATTCTTCATCCTAGACTTCTCCCTTCTCCCTCAAAGCAGCACGCCACCTTGCACACAAATGCCATCAAGACTCGGACAGAAAGCTATCATTTCTGCTATAGGGCCTGTTTTCTTCCCCCCAAATGGGAGATGATGGATTCATGTCTTGGCTAAATAAGATCACTGCTCTCTTCTGATTTGATTTTCATTGATGACATATTGCCTGCCTCTCCTGGGTCAGGTCCTTTCAAAGTATAAAGCCACCCCCTTGTCAGAGAACTTAACAGCAATACAAGGTATAAGTATGAGAAATTGTGGAAAATAACATTAGGCAGGATATAACCTAGTGCTTAATTGAGTACTTATTGCTCTGTGTTCTTTGCAGATTCAGAATTGATGTATTAATATTAACTACTCTAAAGCACGTCCAAAGATATTAATACCAAGATTAATGTCCTGAAAATAAACATGCAGGAGGAATTTAATCCCAATTTATGTTAAAAAGAACATCTGGTCAGTGGGATACTAAAACTAGCAGATCACCATACAGTACTTACTATCTTTAAGCCATTAAGCAAAGCTGTTTATGTGCATATGTATTTAATCCTCACAGTTTCATGAGCCACATGTGTGATGCTCACATGTATATCCCTGTTTCTTTGAGATGAGGAAACAGACTTAGTATGATTAAGCCATTTGCTTATGGTCACATTACTAAGAGGAGGTAAAACCAGAAATGAAACTAGGAGGTCTGATTATAAGCACTGTGTTTTAAAACAAAAAATACTATGAGGAAAGGAGAATACACACTTAAGTAGGATTTTTTTGTTGCAGGTATTGTCAGGTTTTTACTGTGCTTGGGTGTATTGTAAACTGTGAAAACTGCATTCTTGTGGAAATCCTCTCTTCTAGGCCAAGGATCTTCCAGGATTAGTGATTTTTAAGACACCTGCAGGGAAGTACTGAAGTGGAAGTTCCACAGTATCTTACAGGCTCCAGAAGGGCAAAGGGGCAAAAGCAAACAATTACTGAGGTCCCGAAGCTGGGTTGGGGGCTGTGTGAACCACTCAGACTGCTTCTTCCGGGCCCAGCGCTGCACAGCTACCATTGTGACTAGCCAGCGGTCTGCTGTTAGCCTTTCATGCTTCTTACTGGGATATAATCATTTAAAACTAACATTGCTAGGGAAAGTCATAAAATGGTGGTTGCAATTATCTGTTCCCAGTCACCATACTGCCTTAGAAACAGGATACCAAAGAGAGCCTGTGTTTTTGGAGCCAGGTCTCTACCCTACCTCCTTTTGGCTGTGCAGCCTAGGGCAAATGGTCTGGGGTCCTACCTGCTGGAAGAGCTTAGGGGAAATAAAAGTAGAACAGAGTCCCAAAGTTCCCACCAAGTGCCAGGTGCAGTACAGATACCATTATAAGAACACTACGAAGTAACTGCTTATCTATTGTTTAATGAAGTCATTTGCCATACAGCTTAGTAAGTGGGAGGGCTGGGGTTTTCAACTACATTGTCCTGACTCCAAAACCCATCAACTACTCTAAAGCACAGGAGAGGCAAGGGGTAAACCACTTCCAGTGCCATAGTCAAGGCCAAAGACCACGTATGGAGTGGAGGGCAGAGCCGAGAGTTCAGAGCTAGGGAAGGTGAGGGGCAGGAGCAGCTTGGGGACCATCTAGAAGGACCCAACAATCTCCATAAATATCCTCAGTGTGTCCCAGACTTTGCCTCTTCTGTGGATACTAAGCAGGGTGTGGACTTAAGGGCCAGGCAGATAGACTGTCAGTGTCCCCTGGCAGCTGCTGAGCTAGTCAGCACCTGGATCCAGAGCAGTGAAAAGTGAGCACACTCGAGGGAGTTCAACCCACCCAGAAAAGAAGGGCCTTGGAGCAGTTACGGTGTACACAGCCCCTGAGCAGCCGTGCAGGATTTGAGGGTTATGATTCCTCATGGCCTTTAGACTACTTGGGGTGGAGTCTGTCTTGTACAGACAGACTTGTGACCTTGGCAGTATTTAATTCTCCCAAGTCCATTTCTTCATCTGCAAGATGGAAGCCATAATGCAAGAGCCGTTCTGAGATCTCAGCCAGCTAATCCGCATGAAGCTCTTGGCGCTGTCCCCAGGGCGTAGTAAGTGCTCAGTAAATATTAGCTTTCGCTGTTAGCCCCAAGTCCAAGGTCTGAAGGCCTGGGCAGGGGAAACACATCTCTCCTTGAAGCAGCAGAGTTTAGTCGCTGACCTTTTGTTGCCCCTAAATGTAGCCCCACTGCTGTGGACTTTCCCTACCTTCTCTCCCTGCCCCCTTTTCTTTTGCTTATTTATATTTCTGTGCCACTCGAGTAACCTTCAGATGCCCCCTTGTGCCCAGCCTTCAGTGCCTGTAACCTGGGTGAGAGAAAGAGAATCACATGCGGACATACCCTTACTGGGGATCTTGGGGTCAGGCTTAGTTCAGATCCCAGCCCTGCTGTTTTTGGTGAGCTTATCCATGCTTCAGAACTTCAGTGCCATTCTTCTGTGGAATGGGAGTAATAGAAGCTGCTTCACACCCTGGCTGTGCAGATAGCCTATGTGGTCTCCTGGAGTTGTCCGCAAGTGGGTGACACGTTCCTGAAGGCACTGCCCCTGGGGACATTCCTGGGACCCAGGCCTTCTCCCAGCCTAGCCACTGGCCCCACTTCGGCAGAGGAAGCAGTCCATAAATTCTGCATGTCACTACCCTCTACTTTCCCCATGGCTTGAGCTCACCCTCACCTCCAAATCCCAGCATCTGCTGTTCAGACAGCTGCCACGCTGTGCCCACGAGCTCCATGGGCTTGCTGGATAGGTTGCCACTTTGTTGTTGAATAAAAGCCACTGTCAATGCTGGGACCCTTGGGGAGGCAGATCTCATCACTGCCGACTGCCAGACGTGTTCTGTCTCTTTCATCCTCCCCTGGGGATCTCAGGTGACCTCCATTCAGAAGGCCTCTCACCTGACAGCTGCCGCTGTGCCCCTGTGGGAGCAAGGACAGCACAGGGACCTGCCCTGAGCACACAGCTCTGTGATTCTGCCCCAAGATCTGGTGCTCACGTCTGTGTTTTCTTAATAAGGAGACAGGGACAGCTAGATGCTCCAGGACCCAGTCTGCAGACAGAGGAGAGGCGTTCCTGTTAGTGAGTTCTGACTGCAGGAGGCTCTTACTCACGGTAGCTTCTTCACAGCCTTGCAACGAAAGCCTTATTATGAGAACCAGAGATTGAGTCACTTGCCCACAGTCATACAGCTGGAAGAGGAGCAGAGTAGGAATTCAAAGTCTGTGCTTCTAAAGTTTCCTTATTTTTATTTGAAAGTGGGAAAGAGACAGGGAGACAGACCTCTCATCCTCCGGTTCACTGACCAAATGTCTGAGATCTGGGAACTCAGCCTGGTCTCCCTCGTGGGTGGCAGGGTCTCAACTACTTGAGCCACCACCACTGCTTCCCAGGTTCTGCTTTAGCAGGAAGCGGGAATTGGCAGCACAGCCAGGACTCCAACCCAGGCGCTCTGATAAGGGATGCAGGCCACTTAACGGCTGCACCAAATGCCCACCCCAAAGTCTGTTTGAAAGAGGAATTGGTTACAACACATGGCCACTTCAGGAAACTGTGAATAACAACAGTTTAAGCAGAGTTTGAGAGGTAGAAAGCAAGCAGGCTTGCAATTCTGCTGTTTTTTGTGGTAACCAAGCTGAAAGTAGTGGTCATCAGCCAGAAAATCTGAGTGACCCCTCCAAGCACTCTCCCTTTCTGGGTTGTGAAAGACACAGCTCCCCAACTCTCACCTTCCTCAAAGGGGTGAACAGGGTATGGGTGTGATGCAAAATATCTGTGAGGATTGTTAAATTTGCCCATCGTAGAAATAGTGTGCCTTGGGGAAAGTTTGGGATCGGAATTTGCGAGCAGGTAGCTTACAGGAAGAGTCTAACCTAAAAAAAGTTTTGACCTGTGATTTTTGTGTCCTATTATTATTTATGAGACAGAGACAGAGGGAGCTTCCATCCTCTTGCTTACTCCCCCAGATACCCACGATGGCCAAAACTGAATCTGGAGCTGGGAACTCAACCCAGATCTCCCGTGTAGGTGGCAGAAACTCAATTACTTGAGCTATCATCACGGCCTCCCAGGGTCTATATTAGCAGGAAAATGGTACTGAACCCAGGTGTACTCTGGGCTTCTTAATGGCTAGGCTGAATGCCTTCCCTTGTGGTATTTTTTAAGAGGTCAAGTTAATTGCTAATATTTTAGAAAACATAGCAGGTTCACACAGAACTGTAGATTTCTAAATAAATTTTCTTGAAAAATCAGAAGCTCTAGCAGTCCTGGGCCTCTGTCCCCCATACAGCCTGTGTTGGCTGCAGTTCTACCAAGGCTGTTCCCGTAGGCCAGGAGGCGCTGAAGTGCTTTCCAACTTGCTCCTGCCCCCACCACTCCCTATTGCTCCTGGCACAGGGAGTGCCAATCTCCCTGTAGCTTCACCCTCCTCCCCCTCTTTTTCTTATATTAGAGGTGGGAGCAAAATTAGTTTTCCATTTTGGTTTCATTCCTGTTTCCTCTTTCTCCTCTAGGTGTTCCCTTCCCAAAGAACTTCCTTCAGATCTGCAAGAAGATCCTGTGCCGCCTTTTCCGAGTCTTTGTCCACGTCTACATCCACCACTTCGACCGAGTCATTGTGATGGGTGCAGAGGCCCACGTCAACACCTGCTACAAACACTTCTATTACTTCGTCACAGAGATGAACCTCATAGACCGCAAGGAGCTAGAGCCCTTGGTAAGTGTCACTGTGCAGCAGTCGCACCTGGGTCACCCCCAAGAGCTCAGCCACTTGTCACAGTACACCACCAGGCAAATGGAAGGTTTCTGTTAATGGCTGGCTGTTAACTGGAGAACTGCAGACTTGGACAGGGTTCAACAAGAAGCTGAAGGCTGGAAGATGTCACAGCGTCCACTGCCACCAAATAGGACGGCCTATGTTTCTCTCTGAGCAGTGGCATAATAGAGGGGCACCTAAAGGTTTGGGCCAGAGGGAGTAGCTTTCAATCTTAGCATCAAAAATCATCCACCTACTTATTTAAACCCTTAAATGTGGATCTTTGATCTCTCATTGTCTCATGCTACTAATCAAAGATGCTCAAAAACATTTCTTCAGTCAGTAGATAAATATTTAGTACCGTCCATGTGCCAGATGCTGGGTTTACAGTCAAGTAAAACTGCCTCTGAGTAGCTGTTACTCTAGAGATGGAGCAAATGAGAGGACAGCGTCATGGGCACTTGGCTTTCCCACCACATCTCCTGCCATGCAGTTGTAGTGAGTAAATTAGGAACCAGAATATTTGAGATACAACAGTAATGTTATTTGTAGAGGGTGGCCCCAGGGCATTTGGTGGAGTCCCCTAAGTTAAAGGGGATATAGAGTCCCTTGCAAAGCACCTGGGGAAACCTGCTGGAACATAGAAAAGTCACCCTAACTGAGAAAATACCGCAGCTACAAGACGTGTTGGAATGGATAGCCCCTGTCTGCAGTATTTGTTGGAGAAATCCACCCACCGGCTACTTCCTTGCAGTGCATTGAATAAATCTAGCTCTGCTCATTCTTAGCTCGGGTGAATTCTTTCACCATCACCGCCTGTGATGCAAGCCTCAGTTGGTCACTTCCTGTGATGTTATTGTTTATATGAGTGGGAACTTTTATTTTCTTTGTAAGCTATGTTTATACTTGCTTTAGAAACCCAGTATGCCCTAAAAATCCTCACCTTTGTAAGGTTTGCTACCTTAATAGGGATGCTGTCATCACAGCTCTGTCTGCTTGACTCTATTCAGTGCCTTCTTACCCAGTGTAATACATGGCATTATCATAAAATCATGCTTTTCCCTGGAGGCAGTCAAAGTGGCAGCTTTGCTTTGCTATGTACCAACAGAGCAACTACGTCACCCACTACAGTAATGATCAGAATGCTGGGGTGGGGCCAGGCCGTCCCCCTCAGCCCCACGTGCCTTTGTCTTTAAGGTCTGATTTTAAAATACAGCTTTCGTTATTACTTAGGTTCATTGAGGACAGCAGATCAGAAGGTGGCTGTTGTCAAATAGATTGTTATACTCGTACATGCTGAAAGAAAGAGGCCGTGTGCTGAGGAAGCAACAGGGTCAGGCAGGACACAGAGGGAGTGAGGAAAACCCCTGCAAGGAACAGGTGCTGCAGGTTACACAGGCTTAAGGTTCACTGATGCGAGTAATTGCAGTGGGCTCTGTGTGTCAGAGCTGTCCTCGCTGTTTGGTACCTGGCCTGGGGCGCTTAGTGTGAGAGCCTGAGGGAGGAGGTGCTTAGGGTGTGGGCTCTGGACTGGATGGTTTCTGTTGGTCCGGTGTGTGAACAGCTGGATGTCAGATTGTTTACCAACTCTAGGTATTGGGAAGTCCTGGGAGGGGCAGTCTCTCCAGGGTCAACAGGGCTCTGAATGTTAAAAGATCAAAATACATAAATGCAAAAGGCATGTGTAATACAGTGTAACACCTACATGTGGCAATAACGTTGGTGAATTCTGTAAATCACCTTTAATTTTTCTCAACTCATAACTTTTGATTGATTGTACCATGAGAGTACATAGCGAAAAATATCTTCTTTGCATTCCTCAGTAGTTCTGGAATAAAGCAAGGCTTTTAGGTACAGTTGAGAAGTCTCCCATCCTGGCTAAAGCAAAGCTTTTCTTCATTTTCTTTCACAATAGCTTTCTAGAAAGCTCTTGGGGGCAGGCACTGAGTTGTCTCCAAATGCAGTTGAAAGACCAGTGTGAATAGAGGCTCAGAGGCATTGATGATGGTCGAGATTTGCTGGCTGGTCTTTTCTAAAGGCTGTTGTGGGTAAACAGCCAAGGCAAGAAGAAAAAATTGTGCAAACAACTTGAGGGGATTAAAAGATTGGAAACAGTTGATAAAGCTAACTTCCAAAATTTTCAAAGGCAGGGGAAAGAGTGGATGGGCACCGAGCATGAAAGAACCACTGTGGTCCCCCAGTCCTGGTTCTGCTTCAGGATTTTTTCAGTTGATTTCTCTTTCGTGGGCTACTTTAGGTAGACGAAAAATGTCTTCCCCAGAGGCCCATCTCTCTCCTGAGCATGCAGACTTTGAGTTTTGCTGAGCTAAAGGAACAGAAATGGATAGATAGAACTGAAAGTCAATTTCTCCTTTATGCACAGAAGCATAAAGGCCATTGTCAGATAAAGCCAAGTGTCAGTAAGTTGAGAAAGCCTTTCTTTGCCATCAGAAAGTTCTGTTATTTTCTATAACTGAAGAAGGACTCCAGGGCTCTAGACTGGGCAGTGCCAGGAGTTGACTTGAAGTCTCAGAGTCACAGAAAAGCCATAAACAAGCCAATATGCCAAATAAGAGCCCCCTTTGGGTTTCTGCAAGGAAAAAACGTGAATAGGTTAATCAGGAAGTAGCAACAGTGCAAGTGAGCAGGAAGGTGTTGGTTTTTTTACCTAGAAGCTTCTATTTTTTTAAATCTTGTTTGAAATAATGTTCTTGCTATATTTATGTTTTGCTAATTATAATTACAGAAAAAAATTTTTTTTAAAGATTCGTTTGTTTGAAAGGCAGACTTAGAGAGAGGGAGAGCGAGAGCAAGAGCAAGAGAGAGATTGAAAGAGATCTTCCATCCATTATTTTACTCCCCAAAAGGCCACAATGGCCAGGGCTGGGCTGAGCTGAGGTCAGGAGCCAGGAGATTCTTCTGCATCTCCCATGTGGGTGGCAGGGGCCCAAGAACTTGAGCCATCTTTTGCTGCTTTCCCAGGCGCATTGGCAGGGGGCTGGGTTAGAAATGGAGCAGCCAGGACATGAACTGGTGCTCAGATGGGATGCAGCTTAACCCACTACACCACAATGCTGGGCCAGGGAAATGAATTTTAATGTTTTTAAGTATTTGTTTAACGTTTGATTTTCTCAAATTCTGTATTTGCTCTCCATAAAAAACAAAACTGATAAAATAATAGAAATAGGCATTGAGAAAGTTTCTGAGGATAATAACATTATGATGTCAGGCTCTAGGTACTTAGTATATACAGTGTCCACTGAGAGTGTTGCATTTGTGGCTTTTAAAGCTGAAATGAGAGCTTTTATAGGTCCTTGTGTTTGAATACTCAACTTCTAATCTACTGTCATAATGCACACAGTGAAGTTAGGCATAGCATATCAAAGGAACACATTTTTGATCTACATATGCCAAGTGCCATATATATCCACAGCTTGTTCAGATGTTTTATACTCATTAAAAAAAACTCTCAAAAATTTTACAATGCAATCTAAAAAAAATATAATGAATGTGACCCATTTTCAGCCCTTGAAGGATGATGCAGAAGTCAGGCATTTGGCTTCACATTCTAGTTACACATGCTTTAGGATCTAATGCAGCAAGGGCCAGAGGGCAGCGTTTGTCCAGCCAGTTTCCTTTAGAACATCAGCATTCCCAGAGTTCCCACACTTCCAGTGGGACATTCCTTCTGTTCAACAGTGTGGAGCTCAGAGACCCCACCTCATTTATCTGTCTGCTGTGCACCTATAGTGCACAGCCTCACTCCTGTGTTCCCAGGGCCCACCTGCTTGCTTTTGTGTGATGCTGCTAAGTATCCTGTTCATGGGTAGGAGGGATACTCTTTTTCCTCATGCACAGAATGGGTGTAATAATGGAGAAAATTAAATGTTAGTCACATGGTAATGGCCCAAGAAATGTTAGCTGTTAAATGAGAAGATGAACAAAGTGACTGTCATATATTTAAACAGAAGTACCCTAATTCTCTCTTCCCTGGCTCCCAATAGCCTTTTGCTATCTTAGTGGCATCCTAGATAGCTTTTTGCAGATGTAGCTACTTGTATTAATATCAGTCGCTCCCACATAATTGTCAGCTCCTTAGTGGCTGGGATTGTAAGCACATGTGCCTGCAGTGCCCATAGTGTCTAGTGGATAACAAATGATTAATATGTTTTTTAATTAGGAAGACTATTGTAAGGGTGATGAACCTCATTCAAAGGGATAAAACACCAGCCATTCCTTCACTGGTCCCACCTTCATCTCAGAGCATACCTGCCAACCTCTACATGTCTCTTTCCTTATAAATCATGCTTCAGCCTCTCTAATCAGCAGTAGAGGTTAAAAGAGAGCAGTGAAAGATGCACCATATGCATTAGGCCTACTAAAGATGGGGCTTCAACTCTTGAGTTATTCTTTGTTCCAGATTTCAAATGGATTGCTTAGGAAATGTGGAATTGTCTCAGACTTTGTGTCCTGGTGCACTGAGTGTAGAGTGGCCAGCCCTCCAAACTTTGGCACTGAGAGTCCTGTGAGCTGAGAAAACCCTTGGTCCAGAGCAAACTGGATGATTGGTCCTTGTATCAGGACTCTAAGTGGGAAGGCAGTTAGGAATTCACAAGTTGAGAAGAGGTCACTGTGACCAGCCCTGTGAAGGCCATATGTCCATCAGGCCTTGCCATGTGGCTCTCACTGGGACCTGCTGTAGCCCACAGCCTGGGAACCCAAAGAAACCTAAAGCATTTCACTTGGTCTCCAGTAGGGAGGGGGAGGCTGGCACCCTGACAGCCACAGACAGACGTGACAGCTCATCCATTTCTCATGTAAATGCAACAGCTGAAGATGACTTGAACCAAGCAAGTTTACAGTTGGAGGAAAGGAGCCCAAATGATCCTGGTAATTAGAAAATGGGCCAAGCTCCGATTGAACACACAGGCTGCTGTCGGCCCTCCGCTGTCTGGGAATCA